CCATCTTTCCCAGCATCAGGCTCTTCTCCAGGGAGTCCTTCCTTCTCATTAGGTGGCCAAAGTACTTGAGTTTCAACTTCAGGATCTGGCCTTCTAAAGAGCAGTCGGGGTTGATCTCCTCCAGGACTGACCGGTTGGATCGCCTTGCAGTCCAGGGGACTCGCAGGAGTCTTCTCCAGCACCAGAGTTCAAAGGCCTCCATTCTTTGGCGCTCAGCCTTTCTTATGTTCCAACTTTCACAGCCATACGTTGCAGCTGGGAAAACCATGGCCTTGACTATACGCACTTTTGTTGGCAGGGTGATGTGTCTGCTTTTTAGTGTGCTGTCTAGATCTTTCCTCCCCAGGAGCAAGCGTCTTCTAATTTCTTGGCTGCAGTCCCCATCTGCGGTGATCTTGGAGCCCAGGAAGATAAAAATCCATCACTAGGAGCTAGCAGAAAGCAAATTTGTATATTCTGAATATTGCTTGACTTCCACATTTAAAGATACGTAAAGAAATACTACTAAAGAGAGCAAGGAAGCTCTACAAAAGCAAAATTCAAGTGGCTGTCAGTATTTCCTGCCCCCAGCAAGAATCTGGAGTGGAAAAAGCTTTGAGGTCTTTCCAACTCTTTGATTCTAATTTGGCACCGAGATCGTCCGGATTTAATTTCTGGCCTTGATAAGGAAACACTGAACTTTTCCGGCAGCCACAAAATACAACTTTATTGGTGGCTGAAAGGCAGCTTTTGAAAAAAAAAAGAATGAATGAACGGTTATTATGACTTTTGGCCAATGAATGAATACATTAAAACCCACAGCCACACTCTTATCCCGAAAATAAATACCAAATAGCTTAACACAGTCAGTACGGTTTCAATTTTTCATATTTATAAGAAAAGGCTGGACTATTCTGCCAGTCGCAATATGCAAACTGCTTTTGTGGTTTAAAGAAAAGAACGAATGAATGAGGTTTTATTGTGGCCTTTGGCTGATCCGTCAATAAAATGAACCCCACAATCGGTGCCTTGTCCTTGAAATAAATAAAATTACTGTACGTAACACAATAAGTGCAGTTACACTAGCAATGACTAGTTTCTTGTTTTAACAGCAATGTAACATTTTATTTAGAAAGGGATGGGATGGGATGGGATAGAATGGAATGGAATGGAATGGAATAGAATAGAATAGAATAGAATAGAATAGAATAGAATAGAATAGAATAGAATAGAATAACAGAGTTGGAAGGGACCTTGGAGGTCTTCTAGTCCAACCCCCTCAGGCAGGAAACCCTATACCATTTCAGACAAATGATTGTCCAATCTTAAAAACTTCCAGTGTTGGAGCATTCACAACTTCTGGAGGCAAGCTGTTCCACTGGTTAATTGTTCTCACTGTCAGGAAAGTTTCTCCTTAGTTCCAGGTTGCTTCTCTCCTTGGTTAGTTTCCACCCGTTGCTTCTTGTCCTGCCTTCAGGCGCTTTGGAGAACAGCTTGACTCCCTCTTCTTTGGGGGCAGCCCCTGAGATATTGGAACGCTGCTATCAAGTCCCCCCTTGTCCTTCTCTTCATTAAACTAGACATATCCAATTCCAGCAACCGTTCCTTATATGTTTTAGCCTCCAGTCCCCTGATCATCTTTGTTGCTCTTCTCTGCATTTATATTTGGACTCACCTCTGCAAGGCACTAAATTACATACATCTTTTTTAAATCATATAAAAAGTCATGAAGCAGTAATGTCATTCCTGGTATCCCAACACAGAATATCATACTGTAGAGAACACGATGAGAACATGCAATGATAAGTTATACAGTGTTTCCTAACCTTGACAACTTTAAGATGGGTGGACTTCAACTCCCAGAATTCCTCAGCCAGCATGCTTTAAGATGGGTGGACTTCAATTCCCAGAAATCCCTTGTGGACTTCGATACCCAGAATTCCCTTGTGGACTTCAACTCCCAGAATTCTGGGAGTTGAAGTCCACAAGTCTTGAAGTTGCCACGTTTGGAGATTCCTACTCTCTACATATCCTATTTTGACTCTGGTTGATGTATAATGTTGCAAATTAACAAAATGGGAGAAAATCCGTTGCTTAACCATAATCTTGTGACTGTGTTGTGTTCCAGTGCTGACGGTGCTGCGGGCGTTCCCTTGCCGGTCACGACTCGGAGATGGAGAGTTGGCAGCCATTGTGGAAGAAGAGGTGAGGCGATGGATGGAAGTGACACAGGAATCTCCTTGGCCCCTTGGGAAAAAATCGTTTGGAAAGATCGCTTCCACTTTTAAAGCAATGCTATGGCAGTTTCCAATAATCATGATCATAATGTGCATTTTGAAACAGTATACAGGAAGTCCTCAACTTACGACCACAATTGGGATCCGAGAATTCACTGTTGAAGCGATGCGGTCGTTAAATGAGGCATCATGTGGTCACAGTTTGTGTGGTCTTCTCTGGTGACTTTGCTTGTGGGGAGCCAGCTGGGAAAGTCACAGGTGGTGTTCGCTTAATGCCGGGATGCTGCAGTCGTCGTAAATGTGAGCTGGTTGCTAAGCATCCAGATGGCGATCGTGTGAGTAGGGGAATGCTGCAATGGTCGTAAGTAAGAGGACCGGTTGTAAGTCGCTTTTTTAGCACTGTTGTAATTTTGAATGGTTGTTAAACAAGTGGTCGTAAGTCAAGGACCACTTGAATTGCTTATAATATTTTATTAATTGGTCTACGCAGCTGCCAAGGGTCAACATCGCCTCAATGGCAGAGAAAGGGTCATTATTAATACCAATTTGCACACTTATAAGAAATGAAAATGCTTTACGTGGGTTTATAGGGTGAGTTTTCCACTCCCAGAATTCCCCAGCCACCGCAGAGAATTCTGGGAGATGAAATCCCCTCATCTGGAGTTTGAGGACAGCTGGAGTTATAATGAGTCAATCCATTGTTCCACCATGGTTGCTGGACTCTTCCACATCAGCTCTAGCTAGCATGGTTGGTCTGCGTGGATGATGGGCGGTGTAGTCTAACACCTTAACCGGTGATTTAAGATACATATGAGCAATAATAATAACAATAATAAAGTTGGAAGAGATTTGGAGGTCATATAGAATAGAAAATAGAATAGAATATAATAAAATAGAATAGAAAATAGAATAGAATACAGAAGGAGAATAGAATAGAATAGAATGGAATGGAACGGAACGGAATAGAATAGAATTACAGGATAGAATTACAGGATAGAATTACAGGATAGAATAGAATAGAATAGAATAGAATAGAATAGAATAGAATAGAATAGAATAGAATAGAATAGAATAGAATTACAGAATAGAATAGAATAGAATAGAATAATAATAGAATAGAATAGAATAGAATAGAATAGAATAGAATAGAATAGAATAGAATAGAATAGAATGGAATGGAATGGAATGGAACGGAATGGAACAGAATAGAATAGAATAGAATAGAATAGAATTACAGAATAGAATTACAGGATAGAATAGAATAGAACAGAATTACAGAATATAATAGAATTACAAAATATAATTACAGAATAGAATAGAATAGAATAGAATAGAATAGAATAGAATAGAATAGAATAGAATAGAATAGAATAACAAAATAATAATAGAATAGAATGGAATAGAATAGAATTACAGAATAGAATTACAGGATAGAATAGAATAGAATTACAGAATATAATTACAGAATATAATAGAATAGAAAATAGAATAGAATAGAATAACAGAGTTGGAAGGGACCGTGGAGGTCATCTAGTCCAACCCCCTGCTCAGGCAGGAAACCCTGTTCCATTTCAGACAAATGGCTGTCCAGTCTCTTCTTAAAATCTTCCAGTGTTGGAGCATTCACCGCTTCTGGAGGCAGATTGTTCCTGTACTCCTCTACAGATATTCGTTTAGTGACCATTCAAAGTTGCAACGGCACTGAAAAAAGGGACTTAGGACCATTTTTCACCTTTACGACTGTTGGCACCGTCCCTCACGGTCAGGTGATCAAAACTTGGAGGCTTGGCAACTGGCTCGTGTTTATGACGGTTGCCTGTGTTTATGACGGTTGTGACTCTGTTAAGCAGGGAAGCACATGTTATTAACTTAACAACTGTAGTAATTCATTTAACAACTGAAGCGCCTGGTCAATCAGTCTCTAAGCCATTTGGATTTTTTTTTTTTAAATGGGTCAAGGTTTTGTACCATGCCAGAAAAACGGGTTGCTGTACTAACCGAGTTAAATGTATGATGCCGATGCGGCTAAAGTTTAGTTTAATTGAAGTGGATAATGCCAGAAAGAGGAAACAGGCAGCTGGGAGGAGCTTTGGATGCCAAAAGGCAAACTAGAGGAGAATAAAGGGCCATTTTAAAGCGAAGCGAAGCTACAAAACAAAGCAAATACTGTCTTATCTGTGCCCCCATAAGAAGAAGCTAATTTAAATATATTTATTTAATTTTATTATTTTTTACAAATAACTCAAGGCGGGGAACGTTGCCAACACATCTTCCTCTTCCTATTTTCCCCACCACAACAGCCTTGTGAGGTGGGAGAGGGGGAGGGGCCCAAAATCATCCAGGTGGCTTTCATGTCTGAGGTAGGATTAGAATTCACAGCCTCCTGGTGATTGGCCAAAAGTCACCCAGCCGGCTTTCATGCCTAAGGCAGAACTAGAACTCACCATCTCCTGGTGATTGGCGCAAAGGCACCCAGCCGGTTTTCATGCCTAAGGCGGGACTAGAACTCACCGTCTCCTGGTGATTGGCCCAAAGTCACCCAGTCAGCTTTTATGACTAAGGCGGGACTAGAACTCACTGTCTCCTGGTGATAGACCCAAAGTCACCTAGCTGGCTGTCACACTTAAGGTGGAACTAGAACTCACTGTCTCTGGGTGATTGGCCCAAAGTCACCCAGCCGGCTGTCACCCCTAAGGCGGAACTAGAACTCACCGTCTCCTGGCGATTGGTCCTTTCCAGATCTGCCAAAACCTCTTCCTGCGGGGGCTGTCGCTGGTGGGCTGGTATCACAGCCACCCGTTCAGCCACCCTCTGCCTTCCCTACAAGACATCGACATGCAGATGGACTACCAGCTAAAGCTCCAGGGAACCAGCAACAGCTTCCAGCCGTGCCTGGCGCTCATTTGTGGTAGGTTGCAAAACTGGGCGTCTGTTCGGGCTTTTCTTGTTCCTTGTTCCTCTTGCAATTGGGGTTTCTGAAAATCTGCCGGCTTTGGGGAGCTCTGGAGGCAGAAAACAGGAGGATCCAGGGCATTATTTGTCTCCCGTAAGAAGAAACTAAACTAATTTATTTATCTACTAGCTGTCCCCAGACACGCGTTGCTGTGGCTCAGTCTGGTAAAAGCGTGCATTGCTTTTACGTCCAACAGATGGCGCTGTTTTTCAAAAAAGCATGTTTTTACCTGTCACAGGTGTGACATCTATATAATATAGGCATATAAAAACACGTGCGTATTCGAATGCAACGTTGGATCAAAATTTCAAAGCAATCGGTGAAGAACTTTTGGAGATTTAAGATTTTGAACAAATGAACATTTACATTTTTATTTATATAGATTTGTATCTGGCCGCCTTTATTTTTACCGATAGCTTAAGGCTGCGAACGTATTCAATGCATCTTCCCACTCCTATTTTCCCCACGACGACAACTCTGTGGGGGTGGGTTGGGCTGAGAGGGAGAGACTGGCCCAAAGTCACCCAGCTGGTTTTCATGCCTAAGGCGGGACTAGAACTCCCAGTCTCCTGGTGATTCGTCTAAAGTCACCCAGCCTGGCTTTCATGCCTACGGCGGGATTAGAACTCCCAGTCTCCTGGTGATTGGTCTAAAGTGACCCAGACAGCTTTCATGCCTAAGGTGGGACTAGAACTTACCGTCTCCTGGTGATTGGTCTAAAGTCACCCAGCTGGCTTTCATGTGTAAGGTAGGACTAGAACTCACAGTCTCCTGGTGATTGGTCCCTGTGGGGGTGGGGTGGGCTGAGAGGCAGAGACTGGCCCGAACTCACCCAGCTGGTTTTCATGCCGAAGGCAGGACTAGAACTCACCGTCTCCTGGTGATTGGCCGAATGTCACCCAGCCGGCTTTCATGCCTAGAGCGGGACTAGAATTTACCGTCTTCTGGTGATTGGTCTAAAGCCACCCAGCCGGCTTTCATGCCTAAGGCGGGACTAGAACTCACAGGTAGTCCTCAACGTATGTCCACAATTGAGCCCAACATTTCTGTTGGTAATCTGCCTTCCCCGTTGACTTTGCGTGTCGGAAGGTCGCAAACCGGGATAATCTGACCTAGGAACACTGCGACCATCACAAATACATATCAGTGACCAAGTGCCTAGATTTTGACAATGGCTGTAAGTCGAGAACTACCTGTTGTTCTTTTGTCACCCACGGGAACAAGGAAGAGGGCCGTGTCTGCAGTCCCAAATGAGGCCTGGAACGTCTGACTGCTCATCCAAGCATTTTTTTTTTATTCCTGTCCCACCAGGTCCTTACTACCACGGCAATCAAGGTGTAGAGTCCAAGATCTCCCCCTTCTGGGTGATGCCACCCCCGGAGGTAAGCACGAACGTCCCGGCCACCGAGGATTGGCTGGGTTGCTTGAAGTGCTGGCAGCCTTGAAGGGTCTCAACTGGGAGGATCAACGAGATAATTCAGCCTTTTTCTGCTTTAAGAACTATGTGTGGATGTTTGACTGACTCAAGAAGAGCGGCAGAGAGCCTGGGAACCACAGGGAAGTGTTCCAGGGTCTTGAAAAAGAAAAAGAAGGTCCATTTGTCCAGTTTGCAATAAGATCTCCAGTCTAGGGGCAAGGGGTTATAATAATAATAATAATGATGATAAAGTTGGAAGGGACCTTGGAGGTCATCTAGTCCAACCCCCTGCTCAGGCAAGAAACCCTACACCATTTCGGACAAATGGCTGTCCAGTCTCTTCTTAAAAACTTCCAGTGTTGGAGCATTCACTGCTTCTGGAGGCAGGTTGTTCCACTGGTTAATTGTTCTCACTGTCAGGAAGTTTCTCCTTATATTCTAGGTTGCTTCTCTCCTTGATGAGTTTCCATCTGTTGCTTCTTGTCCTGCCTTCAGGCACCTTGGAGAATAGCTTGACTCCCTCTTCTTTGGGGCAGCCCCTGAGATACTGGAAGACTGCTATCCTGTCCTCGCTCGTCCTTCTCTTCATTAAACTAGACATACCCCAATTCCAACAACCGTTCCTTGTATGTTTTAGCCTCCAGCCCCCTAATCATTTGTTGCTCTTCTCTGAACTCTTTCTAGAGTCTCAGCATCTTTTTTACATTGTGGTGACCAAAACTGGATGCAGGATTCCAAGTGTGGCCTTACCAAGGCCTTGTAAAGTTGGATTAGAAGACCTCCAAGGTCCCTTCCAAGGTCCCTAGGATTCTATGGTTCTGTGACTCTAGGATTCTATGGCTCTATGATTCTGTGATTTTATGACTATGATTCTAATCTAGACTCTATGATTCTATGACTGAGTATATGATTCTATGCCTATAATTCTAAATCTAGACTATGATTCCGACTATGATTCTATGACTGATTCTATGATTTTTATGACTATGATTCTAGACTCTGTGATTCTATGACTATGATTCTATCATTCTTTCATTCTATGACTATAATTCTATAATTCCATGATTCTATATGATTCTTTCACTATGATTCTATGACTATGATTCTATGAACTACCTGTTAAGAGGGTGGGGATTCTGGACGTTTGATAGTGTGGATTTTTAAGGTCGTAGGCCTCTCACTGTGCATGAGTTGGGCAGTCATAGGCATCTATTTAATAAATAAAAGAAATAATTAATGAAAACAGAGAAGGGCTGTTCATAGGCAAGGCTCCAGTCTTCCGGATAATTTTCATTGTGTGCACATGCCTAAACACAGGGACTCAAAATTTCCTTCCTTCCTTCCTTCCTTCCTTCCTTCTTTCCTTCCTTCCTGCTTTCTTTTTCTCTTTCTTTCTTTCTTTCTTTCTTTCTTTCTTTCTTTCTTTCTCTCTCTCTTTTTTCTTTCTTTCTTTCTTTCTTTCTTTCTTTCTTTCTTTCTTTCTTTCTCTTTCATTTCTTTTTCCTCCCTCCCTCCCTCCCTCCCTTCTCCTTTTTCCTTTCCCAGCAAAGACCCTATGATTACGGCATCCCCATGGAGGTTGAAGTCACCTACATCCAGGATGGATTTTTAACGAACGACGTTCTCCACGAAATGGTATCCTGTTTCTCCGAATTGTCTTACAGCAGGGCCATTTGGTGGCACCCTGACCCAAGCACATCAGTGTTCTGATGTAAAGAAAGGTCATGGGGTCACAGAAAGTAAATTTACAGGTGTGTGTGTGTGTGTGTGTGAGAGAGAGAGAGAGAGAGAGAGAGGGAGAGGGAGAGGGAGAGAGAGAGAGAGAGAGAGAGAGAGAGAGAGAGAGAGAGAGAGAGAGAGAGAGAGAGAGAGAGAGAGAGAGAGAGAGAGAGAGAGAGAGAGAGAGAGAGAGAGAGATATCTCATAAGGACTGCTGGCCCCCATGGATTTCTCAAGCTTGACCCCTTTTAAGACCAGCCGACTTCAACTTCCAGAATTCCCCAGCCAGCATTAAGTCATGCTGGTCCCTGTCACCCTGTGACGGTCGTTAAGTGAACCCATTCTACCTAATGGGTGTTTTTCATCGTAAGCTGGAAGTCAATGCCACTTTTCAGCAAAAAAACCCCAAAACCCTAAATTACGGTCACATGACTATGGGACATTGCAAATGGCGGCCAATGTGGGCCGGTTGCCATGTGCCCAAAATTCAATCCCACAGCCGCAGGGATGGGGCTGGTGGGTGGCTGCCAGAGCTTCAAAACCAGGTCATAAGTAGCAGTGGGGAGGCCCGTCGGAACTCTGAACGGTCGTTAAGTCGAGGACTGCCCGCAACTCGCCTAGCGAGGGCAGGTCATCGTGTCCTTTTCCTTCCACTGACCGTTTTCTCACCGGCTTCCAGATGCTGCTGGTGGAGTTCTACAAAGGGGCACCTGACATGGTGAAGTTTCAGGACGCGTGGAGCCAGGAGCAGACCTACCTGGATAAACTCAAGGTAAGACTCAGAGAGAGAGGAAGGAAGGAAGGAAGGGAAAGGAAGGAAGGAAGGAAGGAAGGAAGGAAAGAAGGGAAAGGAAAGGAAGGAAGGGAAAGGAAAGAAGGAAGGAGGAAAAAGAAAAAAGAAAGAGAGAAAGGAAGGAAGGAAGAAAGGGGAAGGAAGGAAGGAAGGGAAAGGAAAGAAGAAAAAGAAAAAGAGAGGGAGAAAGGAAGGAAGGAAGGAAGGAAGGAAGGATGTATCTTCTTGTGACAACTGGCAGCCAAGAATGCCTTAGCCGAGGGTTCTTCCTCTGTTCGGCTCTCCCAATTCTTCATTACTTAGACATATTTTTCAACTGGAATTATTTGTTGCACTCCCAGAATTCCCCACCCAGCAGGCTTTAAGATCGGTGGATTTCGTTGCTGGCTGGGGAATTCTGGGAGTTGAAGTCCCCAAGTCTTAAAGTGGCCAAGTTTGAGGACCCCTGGCCAAAAGCAATACCGGTCATCCCCGACTTACAACAGTCCTTTTAGTGACCGTTCAAAGTTACAACGGTGCTGAAAAAAAGTGACTTACACTCTGTTTTTTACACGGACGACCGGAGAGCAAAACCCTGCTGAATTGAATCCTCAATTTCTGAGGCAGCGATTCTCAGCCGAAGATGGGTGGACTTCAACTCCCAGAATTCCTCAGCCAGCCTTGCCAGGCTGGGGAATTCTGGGAGTTGAAGTCCACCCGTCTTCCAGCCGCCGAGCTTGAGAATCAACCATCTTAAAATAAAATTCTACTTTTTATCTTGTCCTCAGGGCTCCTTAGCTTCTAGGACACCCAAGGATCAAAGCTTCGGACATATCCTGGAACAGGTCTACGCAGCCCTCCAACACAGCAGCTGACGAAGAGAGTCCGGGACTCATACAGAAGACACAAACATGGGTCGAGGCAGGATTTGAATCCGGAACTGCAGGCCGTGACATTCATCGGGGAGGGGAAAAGGACAGGGTCAAAGTGGATCCCTTTCGAATGTTTGAAATCATCCCGTTTGGGGCTCGGCCTCTGGGCGCTCTGGCTGGAAAAGTGGAAGCACCCCTGGATGCGTTAGCAAGTAGATCGGCGCGCCCATTTTACAGACGGGCGAGTCGAGAGCTTCAGTAGCATAGCCTGGAGGGAGATTTAGTTAGCACCATTAGGAACTTACGTTTTCCATAAGGCAAGCAGAGATGTCGCTCGCCTTGCCAGCTTCGTTTGGGAATGTTTTGTCGGCCAGGAAAATGTTTACGTGACGCATTTTGAGCCAATGGGTCAAGAATTATCCTGTGGCGGGATGGGCGGCTGATAAATTTAATAAATAAAAACATAATAATAAACATAATAATAATCTGAAAGAGGGCAGGCTGGGGAAGCAAGGCTACCAAGATCCCATTATAATGGGTCATGGAAGAAAATTAAAAAATATGTTTTAAATCTCATTCTTAGGGAAAAAGTATTGATACCCAGGTTTGACTGACAGGCAAAGATTCATCTGAAGAGAAGCAGAGATGCTAGGTTGGAAAAAAATCCTTTTTTTTTCTTTTTCAAGCTTTTTCTCCAATTGATTAAGTTATTGATGAATGCAATTGAAGATTAGAGGTCTGGAGGCTAAAACATACAAGGAACGGTTGCTGGAATTTGGGTATGTCTAGTTTAATGAAGAGAAGGACGAGGGAGGACATGATAGCTGTGTTCCAGTATCTCAGGGCCTGCCACAAAGAAGAGGGAGTCAAGCTATCCTCCAAAGCACTGAAAGGCAGGACAAGAAGCAACGGATGGAAACTCACCAAGGAGAGAAGCAACCTGGAACTAAGGAGAAACTTCCTGACAGTGAGAACAATTAACCAGTGGAACAACCTGCCTCCAGAAGCGGTGAATGCTCCAACACTGGAAGTTTTTAAGAAGAGACTGGACAGCCATTTGTCTGAAATGGTATAGGGTTTCCTGCCTGAGCAGGGGGTTGGACTAGAACAGGGCTTTTCAACCAGTGGTACGGCTACCACCTGTGGTACATTGGCACCTGGCAGGTGGTACGCGGCCATCCTAGAAAAGTGGTAATGGGGGAGGGGAATGAGCTGAACCGGTGGCAGCACCGCACAAGCCCTGAGCGAGAGACGGCTGGAGCTGCAGGGCTGTCAGGGCTCAGTGGAAGTGCCAGGATCAGTGCCGCTTTCCAGCTGATTGGGGCTTCTTCGGGGCTGTCAGGGCTCAGTGGAAGCGCCAGGATCAGTGCCGCTTTCCAGCTGATCGGCGTTTCTTCGGGACTGTCAGGGCTCAGTGGAAGTGCCAGGATCAGTGCCAGGCTCCAGCTGGAGCTCAGTGCTGATCCTGGCGCTTCTGCTGAGCCCAGAAGAAGCGCCGATCACCTGGAATGTTGCAGCCTCTCCAGGGTCTTGTGATTTACATTCAGATGCTTGGCAACTGATTCGTATTTATGACGGTCACAGTGTCCCAGGGTCATGTGAAGTGACCAAAACCTGCTGCAACCACCCAGCAGACGGGGGGAATAAAAACCAAACACCCCCCCACCCCACCCCTGCTGCCAATCCTCAACAGAAATGCTCACAACCATGAAAACCTCGGACAGGAGGAAGAGCGCCACCGGGGGGGCAGGCAGGTGTCTTGCTCGGCTGTGGCTTGGGGGGGCACTTTTTTCAGTGCCACTGTAAATTTGAACAGTCACTAAGCGAACTGTTGTAAGTCAAGGACTACCTGTACTTTATCACTTTTTTCTTTTTGGTCATCAAGTTTTTGACACCCTGCTAAGCGACTGTTGGTACTCGGATATAGCCATACCCTAAAAGTGGTACAATGGGTGAAAAAGTTGAAAAGCCCTGGACTAGATGACCTCCAAGGTCCCTTCCAACTTTATTATTATTATTATTAGGGGGGGGGGCGTCTCTCCCAGAAGATTTGCTAGGGCAAAAGGATAAGGCAGACTCTTTAGCCCCTCCCTTCCCCCAAATAAGTCAGAATGCCCCTTTCAACCATTTAATACTTTTTTTATTTTCAAGGATACAAGTTTTTTTTTTATTTAATTCCAGAACAAAAATAAATGCATAAACAAGAAAGGGGGTTTGTTTTTGTTTGTTTGTTTGTCCCCCCCCCCATACCCCAATAAAATTGTCCAGACTGAGAAAAATACAAAGGACAGTTTTCATGCCATCTGACGCAAAGAGATGCCCAGCACACAGCCACGAAGTTCAACGGATTAGATATTTACAAAATGTTTGTTGTTTTTTTCCCCCTTGTCCCACTCCCGGTTTGATGTTTGATTTTTTTGTTTCCCCCCCACCCCCAAGTGGTCCTGATGGGGAATGGAAGATGGGCAGGGAGATACAGAAGGCAGAGAAGAGAGGAATTTACGGGACTGGTTAAAAAACGGAGGGAAGGGGAAAAAAAAAAAAAAAAGAACGACGGGAGGGAGAAAGTGGTACGAAGATTATACTGAGTTAAGATGGGAGGGGATAAAAAAATATAGAAGCAATTGTTTAGGAAACAGTGAAACAAGATCAGAGGTCTCCCAAAGTTGGCAACGTTAAGACTTGTGGACTTCAACTCCCAGAATTCCTCAGCCAGCGTGCTGAGGGGTCTTCAAACTTGGCCCTTTTATGACTTGTGGACTTCAACTCCCAGAATTCCTCAGCCAGCGTGCCTGGCTAAGGGATTCTGGGAGTTGAAGTCCACAAGCAGGGGTCTTCAAACTTGGCCCGTTTATGACTTGTGGACTTCAACTCCAAGAATTCCTCAGCCAGCGTGCCTGGCTAAGGGATTCTGGGAGTTGAAGTCCACAAGCAGGGGTCTTCAAACTTGGCCCGTTTATGACTTTTGGACTTCAACTCCCAGAATTCCTCAGCCAGGCACGCGTGCCTGGCTGAGGAATTCTGGGAGTTGAAGTCCACAAGCCATAAAAGGGCCAAGTTTGAAGACCCCTGGATTTGAAGGCCAACAAGATGGTTTCTTCGGCTTGGGCCAAGGTGGTGGACTACGATTCCCATCCTGTGGGATGAATTATGGATCCAGACACCCCACAAGTCTCTGGTCCCGTGGTTGGAAGATGGATCTTCACACCCCAGGACTGTAGAGGCTGGTGCCACTTCTGAACCATGCTCCTCTCATGGGAATTCTGGGAGTTGAAGTCCACAGGTCTTCAAACGGCCAAGTCTGGAGAGAGACTCTTGAAGATGACCATTAGCCCTGCTGGACACACAGGGAGGAGATGCTAATTTTAAAACAAGATAAATCCATTTATACGTTCAGGACTGTATGCAATCACATAACGGGTCGAGGGGTGGAGAAAGGGAAAGAAATACAGCTGGAACTGATCATGTCGGAGGCCAGGAAGAATTACCCCATTATAAAGTACTGATTTTTATTGATTTCTCCGCCACCTCCCATTAATTCCTCTTTTCCAAAGCTGGTGCCGGCACTGGCCCCTTCTTAGTTAAGCTGCCCGGGCTCTGGATTCAAATTTCTGTAAAGGATACAGAGCCCTTTATGGGAAGAGAAGCAGGGGGGGCTTAATTGTTTAAAGGATAGGGGGTGACCCCACCCCAAATAGTGCCTTAGAAAAAACTGTGGGGGGCAACTGGGTTGTTGCTGGGGGGGGCAAGTACAGGTTTTGCAATCCACTCTATTCCCCCCTTAACCCCCCACAGCCCCGGGAAGGGACACAGAAAAAAAAAAATACTAGCCTTTGCGGAGTTTAGCCCAGCTGCCTGCAGCGAGAAAACACAAAAGGCCAGTTTTAAATGGCCAGGAAGAGAGAAAAAGCTGGAATTCCCCCCCCCCCCAGATATCCGGCAGGATGTAGGTCCCAAAGGAGAAAGGACTAATCTCCCAGTTCAATCCTGGGGTTTTTAAGGCAATGTTTCTCAAACTTAGCCACTTTCAAGACGGGGGGGGGACTACAACTCCCAGAATTCCCCAGCCAGCAAAGGCGGGGAATTGAACGCCCCCCCCCCTCTTAAACCACCTTTCCTGGTTTTGTCTGTAGTGTTGGCAGATTTGTTGGGGAGTTTAACCTGAGCAGCTCAAAAGAGAACGGACGCGTCCCCTGAGGATCTAATGGGGTGCCTTCAAGAGGACAACGGGTGTTGGAACGCTTTGAAGGACACCAAGATGGCTTCGTCTGCGTGGGCCAAGGGCTATCTATGAATTTGCCTCTTGGGGGATGAATTATGGATCCAGGCACCCCATAAGTCTCTGGTCCCGTAGTCGGAAGGTGGGTTTTCCCACCCCAGGACTGGTGTCGCTGAGGGAACAATGCTCTACAAAAGGTACGGCCTGCGTTGGGCCGCCAAGAATCACAACACTGAAAACTTTGGATCCGAGTCCTTCCGACCACCCGCAGACTTAACCCTTCGGAGAGTCTGGATGACAATTCCTGGAAACTGACTGGCGATGCTGGCTAGGGATTTCTGAGAATGGTGGCCAGAAGCTCAAGGACAACATGGACAAGGAGAAAAGGGCCCTGACGACGGTGGAGGAGCCCATCTGTGGAAAGGCAGACCGTGGGTTTTCTTATCAAAGGTGATTGCCGCTCCGCGCAATGCCTGGAGCTAGCACAAACACACACACACACACACACACACGCACACAATCCCCACAGACCTCTATTCTCTAAACAAGCCACCATCTTCCTTGGTGGTCCTGGGAGATGTTCCGACACGCACAAAAGGGACAAGGCTGAACCAACCCGGAGAAGACAGCTCCCAGCAGTTGCAGCCTCTTGGTGCTTCTTAGGCCCCGCCCCGCCCCGCCCGCCAGGGGTCCAGCTGCCCGGCTTGACTGCAGCCTCTGGGACCGGCCCTTGGCACCTTTTTTTTTTCTCTCCCCCAAAAAAAAGCTTCCCCACCCCACCCCGAAGGGCACAAAATTAGTGTCAGCTAGACCCTCTCATTCCCTGGAATGTAAGGAAGGACATCTCCCTTCCCGGGGCCGCTGCGTCTGGGTCATCCGGGAAGGGAGGAAGAGGAAGAGGAAGAGGAAGGAGGACGGAAGAGCAACGGAGAAGGCCGCCGGCCGTTTCACTGAGGTAGCGGGACGAGGACCTCCACGTAGTTGAGCGGGAAGAAGCCCGACAGGCCGTTGATCATGCCCTCGTACCAGTTCTCGTCGATTTGGTTGGTCAGCGTGATGATGTCGCCTTCTCTGAAGCCTAACTCGCCGTCGTTCTCCGGCTCAAAGTCGTACAGCGCCTTGCAGCAGGGCTGGTCCATGTGGGGGGCTGGAGGGGGGAGGAGGAGGAGGGGAGAAGAGGAGGAGAGCTTAGCCAACAGGTGCCCTTTCCACCCCCCCTCCCCAGCCTCAATTGACATCTCCCGAGTCCACAAAGGGTGGCAAGCCATTGGCTGTCGAAGTACACGGAATGCTGGGAGTTGTAGTTCAAACGGAGGGGTGCCCTCAGCTGGCTCGTGAAGACCGGTGGCCCTGGGCTTTCAAAGCGCCACAGCCCTGAACAAAAAACCAGCATGGCTGGTTCAGGAATCCTGCATCCAGTTTTGGGTCACCACGTTACAAAAAAAAAAGATGTTGAGACTTTGGGAAAAAGTGCAAAGAAGAGCAACTAAGATGATCAAAGGCCTGGAGACGGAGACATAGGAAGAACGGCTGCAGAATTTGGGAACGGCTAGGTCTAGATCAGGGCTTTTCAACCAGTGGTACGGGTACCACCTGTGGTACATTGGCACCTGGCAGGTGGTACGCGGCCATCCTAGAAAAGTGGTAGTGGGGGAGGGGAACGAGCTGGACCGGCGGCAGCACCACACAAGCCTGAGCGAGAGACGGCTGGAGCTGCAGGGCGGCCGGGGCTCAGTGGAAGCGCCAGGATCAGCGCCAGGCTCCAGCTGGAGCTCAGCGCTGATCCTGGGGCTTCTGCTGAGCCCTGAAGAAGCACCAATCAGCTGGAATGTTGCAGCCTCTCCAGGGTCTTGTGATTCACATTCAGATGCTTGGCAACTGATTCATATTTATGACGGTCACAGTGTCCCAGGGTCATGTGAAGTGGCCAAAACTTGCTGCAACCACCCAGCAGACGGGGGGAATAAATACCAAACACCCCCCCACCCCACCCCCACTGCCAATCCTCAACAGAAATGCTCACAACAATGGAAACCTCGGACAGGAGGAAGAGCGCGGCTGGGCGGGCAGGCAGGTGTCTTGCTCAGCTGTGGCTTGGGGGGCACTTTTTTCAGTGCCATTGTAACTTCAAACAGTCACTAAGCGAACTGTTGTAAATCTAGGACTACCTGCACTTTATCACTTTTTTCCTTTTTTTTTTTTGGTCAAGTTTTTGACACCTTGCTAGGCGACTGGTGGTACTCGGATGTTGCCATATCCTAAAAGTGGTACAATGGGTGAAAAAGTTGAAAAGCCCTGATCTAGGCCAGGGGTAGGCAACCTGGGCTCTTTTATGACTCGTGGACTTCAACTCCCAGAATTCCTGAGCCGGCCTGGCTCAGCTTGGAAACCTCTCCCTTTCCCCTCAGCATGGCTGGCTCAGGAATTCTGGGAGTTGGAGTCCACGAGTCATCAAAGAGCCAAGGTTGCCTACCTCTGACCTAGGCCATCCTAGTAATGGAACACGTGCAGGAAAATAAACAAGTTCAGAGAAGAACTTAACTGTTCCACCCTGAGCTAAGGTTCTCTTGGAACTGCCTCTTTTGCGGCCATAAGGACTAGAAACCTGACTCTGTTTGAGGCCCCGAGCATTTGCTAAGATCCATGGACACCACCACAGCACACCGGAAGCCGCAGCTACCAGTTCATGCAAGCAGGGAACGGGACGAGGGAAAGCGAGGGTGTGGGGGGGGTGTCTCGTGCTGCATGCAGGAAAGAGGAAAGAGAGGGGAAGGGGAAGCAGAAAGTTGGGGGGAGAGGGGGGGAAGCACTCACAAAATATCCTGCTGGGGGTCCGGGATGGCTTTTCGGATCGGAAGGAGGAGGAAGCTGGTTGCAAAAAAAAAAAAAAAAAAAGGAAACAAACAAACAAACATGGAATAAAATAAAAACCGACATGCTCGCTGGCAGACAAGCACAAAGATCTCTGCAGGTGACGGTCGGTCGAAACGAACAAGGGAATCCTCGATTTACGACTATCCCTTCAGTGACCCGACTGATCGACTTCAAAACGGGTCCCGCTAAGCAATGCGCAGACTAGGAGAAAGAGTTCCCGTTTTGCAACGCGTTTTAGTCACTGCGGGGAGCACTCGGTCGGCGTCCGACCGGCCCTTACCGGAGACTTTGGGAGCTGGGTTGCAGGAAAATCCACCGTTCGACTGGTCTCCGCTCTCTCCGAATTCGTAGGGCTCTCTGGGCTTCGGTTTATATTCCCGCTTGGGGCGCGAAGAGGTGTCTCGCACTCTGTACCCAGGGAGGAAAAAAGACCGCAGAGGACTGTCAGCTGGGTGGGGACTCAACTCTCGGTTAAATTCCAGATAGGTCTTCGACTTACAAGCACAATTTAGCCCTATAATTTCCGCTTTGAAAGTGAGACTGTTCCCAAGTGAGTTTTGCCTCATGTTACGACCTTACTTGCCACAGTTGTTAAGTGAATCGCTGCGGTTGTTAAGTGAATCGTGCAGTCCTTAAGTGAATCTGGCTTCCCCCCTTGACTTCGCTTGTCGGAAGGCCGCAAAAGGGGATCACATGACCCCTTGGCAACTGTCATAAATACGAGTCAGTTGCCAAGCGTCTGGATTTTGATCACGTGACCCTGGGGATGCGGTAATGGTCGTAAGTGTGAAAAACTGACATACTTGAAGCCAGAGGTCCCCAACCTGTGGGCCCCTACCGGGCCGTGGGCTGTTGGCCACTGGGCCACCTGAGTGGCTGGCCAGTGCACATGCATGTGTGCAGGTGCACCCCCCACTCATGCTAGCGTTGCGGCGGCACGCAAGTGCTAGCGATACCGTGAGCATCATACAGGCGCTAGCTAGCGTCATTATGAGCAGCGGCGCTGCAAACGGACACTCCTCCCACTTGCGCTAGCATCGTAGCGGCGCGTGGGCTCTATCATCGCTCCCACTCGTGCTAGCATCGCAGTAGCCGGTGGGCTGTATCATCGCCGTGCGCGCACACTCCCACTTGCGCTAGCATCGCAGCGGCCCGTGGGCTCTATCGGCGCCGTGCGTACACACTCCCCCCACTCGCGCTAGCATTGCAGCGGCCGTGGGCTGTATCATCGCCGTGCGCACACGCTCTCCCCTCGCGCTAGCATCGTAGCAGCCCGTGGGCTCTATCGTCGCTGTGCAGGCACACTCCTCCCACTCGTGCTAGCTTGGAAACCTCTCCCTTTTCCCTCAGCATGGCTGGCTCAGGAATTCTGGGAGTTGAAGTCCACGAGTCATAAAAGAGCTCAGGTTGCCTACCCCTGGAATAGGGGATGCGCTGGCTCGGGGTAAAGACAGAGAGCTGACAGGTCGGGTTTGAGACCCAGCGTTGCTGGATGGGGTGAGCTCCCATTCCTTGCTCCAGCTCCTGCCCACCTGGAAAAGTGATCAAAATTTGGATGCTTGGCAACCTCCTGGGATCACCTGATCTCCATTTTGCGACCTTCCCAGCCGGCTTGCGACAAGCAAAGTCAACGGGGGAAGCCAGATTCGTTTAATGACCACATGATTTAGGCTCGCCTCTGATTTGCCTAACAACAGTGGCTGTAAAATCGAGTGTGTCTTACTTAACAACCGTTCTGCTTAGCCATAGAAATTCTGGTCCCAAGTGCAAAGACGGGTAATAAGTTACTTTTTTTTTCAGTGCTGTTGGAAGTCACAATTGTAAGTCGAGGAGTACCTTTGAGACCGCCTAGCCCCTCGAACCCAGCTGACCTGCGTTTCAGCTTCTCCGCCAACTCGTCCAGAATCTGCACGGCTTGCCGGTGGTAATCGAGTTGCGCATCCACCAGAGCAGAAAGCTGGCTGACTTGCTCGATCTGTAGCAAAAGACAAAGGAGATTTATATTTCAATAAATCAGAATAGAGTTGGAAGGGACCTTGGAGGTCTTCTAGTCCAGCCCCCTGCTCAGGCAGGAGACCCTATACCAGGGGTAGACAACCTTGGCTCTTTTATGACTTGTGGACTTCAACTGGCTCAGGAATTCTGGGAGTTGAAGTCCACGAGTCATAAAAGAGCCAAGGTTGCCTACCCCTGACCTATACCATCCCAGACAAGTGGCTGTCCAGTCTCTCCTTAAAAACCTCCAGCGATGGAGCACCCACAACTTCTGGTGGCAAGCTGTTCCGCTGGTTAATTGTCCCAACTGTTAGGAAGTTTCTCCTTAGCTCTAGGTTGCTCCTCTCCTTGGTTAGTTTCCGTCTGCTGCTTCTTCTTGTCCTGCCTTTCACAGACAGTTTTGACCACGCTTTGTTGAACCAGCCACAATGATCTCTCCACGTTTTCTGCACCCTTAATCCTTTCCAAATGGGACAGGGACATTTGGTTTTACCCAGATACAGGCAGTCCTCAACTTGCAACGGTTCACTTAATGACCATTCAAAGTTACAACGGCACTGGAAGAAGGGACTTAAGGTCGTTTTTCACACCTATGATCGTTCCAGCGTCGCCACGGACACGTGATCAAAATTCGGAAACTGGTTCATATTTATGACGGTGGCAGTGTCCAGTGTGTGTGTGTGACATGATTCCCTTTTGCGACCTTCTGACACGTAAAGTCAAAGGGGGAAGCCAGATTCACTTAACAACCGTGTTACTAACTTAACAACTGCAGTGATTTTGACTTTGCTATGTACATGCCGATGCTATGCTACTCAAAATAAAGATTCTTTAAGGTAAACAATGCCTCAGAAGTTCTTTGAATAGTTTCATCTGTCGGAACCATGACACAAAGCTAAAATCTGAAGTCCCCTCCCCTCAGCACACAGTATCAAAGCACAATTCCCCTCCTCTAATTAACAGTCATAAATCACATTCCCCAATTAGTTTGAAATGCAGGCTTTCCCTCCAGTTCTCCAACCCGCCATTTCTTATCATCTCTTATTTCAAAAAACCTTGGTTCTCACACTACTACAATATTGTTATGTCTAACTAACTCCCATACACATTCCTCCTCCTCCCCCCAGTATCATCTAATTCCAACTCTAATTCTAAGAGTAAAACATAAGAAGGAAAATGGCTGCATCTCCGTATGTTGTCAAAACATCCAATGTTAGCAGCGTTGACACAGAAATTTTGGCATTAAATTGTGGTCGTAAGGTGAGGACTTCCTGTATAGGATTTCGACCTGGGACAAACCTACGCTTCCATTTGTTTCCCGTCTTGTGTCTCGCAAGGCACACACTCACGTCCGTCTCGAGAAGATTGTGCATACTCGTCTCCGCCACTTCCTTGGACTCCTCAAACTTTTCCAACGCTTGTCGCAACTCCTCGTCCGGAATTTTCCCTTGGCGCTTCTTTTTGTAGTCGAAATCCAACCGTCGCCCTTCTAACTTTTTCAGGTGGTGCTTTTGGGGGGGGAGGAAGGAGGAGAAAAAGAGGAGTAAATAGTTTAAAAAAAAAAGAAGTAGAGATGGGGTACGCTCGGCTTTTCCAAGTTAAACTACTTTTGAACGCGAAACTCTTCCCCAACTAAATGGTTATTAACAAGCAACGGTTACATTGGAAACGAAACTACTCCGCAAAGGAGGTCATTGATGACATCTGCATAATATTAGGTCATACATAATTTACTTAATATTATGCAGATGTCATTAATGACCTCGTTTACGGAATAGTTTCGTTGCACAACCGGTCCAGCTCTCTGCGGGCAAATATAATATATATAAAACACACAAGGAAAGGTTGATGGAATTGGTTATGTCTGGTTTAATGAAGAGAAGGACCAGGGGGGACAGGATAGCGGTCTTCCAATATCTCAGGGGCTGCCCCAAAGAAGAGGGAGTCAAGCTATTCTCCAAAGCGCCTGAAGGCAGGACAAGAAGCAACGGGTGGAAACTAATCAAGGAGAGAAGCAACCTGGAATATAAGGAGAAATTTCCTGATAGTGAGGTTGTCATGTGTCTGATTAACGAAACACTTAAAAGGACTTTCAGGCATATTTTCTCCTAAAAGCATTTATTAAGGTTACAGAGACGTCAGTACAGCATGGTGGAAATGCTTAGGTCTGGCTTCTCTTCCGTTACGCATACATTCCAAGCATTTTTCCCTGCCTCTATTTTGGGGTCATGGTTCACATCTTCCAATTAACT